ATCCCAGCTACTTGGGAGGCTGAGGCAAGAGAATTGCTTAAGCCCAGGAGTTTGAAGTTGCTGTGAGCTATGATGCCACAGCACTCTACCCAGGACAGCTTGAGGCTCTGTCTCAAAAAAAATTAAAATTAAAATAAAAAAAATTAACTAACTAACTTACTTAACAGAAGAGCCAGGGACCTGGCATGGTGGCTCACACCTGTAATCCCAGCACTCTGGGAAGCCAAAGCGGGTGGTTCTCCTGAGCTCACGAGTTTGAGACCAGCTTGAGCTAGAGTGAGACCCCATCTTTAAAAATAGCTGGGGCTAGGCGCCTGTGGCTCAAGTGGCTAAGGTGCCAGCCACATACACCTGAGCTGGCGGGTTCAAATCCAGCCCGGGCCCACCAAACAACAATGACAGCTGCAACCAAAAAATAGCCGGGTGTTGTGGTGGGTGCCTGTAGTCCTAGCTACTTGGGAGGTGGAGGCAGGAGAACTGCTTGAGCCCAGGAATTGGAGGTTGCTGTGAGCTGTGATGCCATAGCACTCTACCCAGGGTGACAGCTTGAGGCTCTGTCTCAAAATAAATAAATAAATAAAATAAAAATACCTGGGTGTTGTGGCAGGTGCTTATAGTCCCAGCTACTTGGGAGGCTTAGGCAAGAGAATAACTTGAGCCCAAGAGTCTGAGGTTGCTGTGAGCCATGACACCACGGCACTCTACCAAGGGCAATAAAGTGAGACAATGTCTCTAAAAATAAATAAATAAATAAAGTTCATGTAGTAGTTGAGCCCTTCACCTAGGGGGTTGAGGGTTGGTTGTTCTGTATACCCTTCCATTGTGCCCCTAATCATTTTTACCCTCATATTAATCTGAAATTAAAAGAAAGAAAGAAAGAAACCCCTACGCCACACACACAAAAAGGAAAGAACAGCCATTTCTCCAGGAAACATGGATTAGATATATGTTAATTATCAATTTTAAAACTGCACAGCACTCATTTTATTGGTCAGGTGGGGTGGCTCAGGTCTGTAATCCTAGCAATCTGGGAGGTCAAGGCAGAGGGATTGCTTGAGCTTAGGAGTTCAAGACCAGCCTGAGCAAGAGCCAGGTCTTGTCTCTACTAACAATAGAAAAACTACCTGGGCATTGGGGCAGGCACCTGTAGTCTCAGCTACTTGGGAGGTTGAGGCAGGAGGATTGATTGACTTCAAGAGTTTGAGGTTACTGTGAACTATGATGCCATGGAACTCTACTGAGACTCACAATGTGAGACTCTATCTCCAAAAGAAAGAAAAAAAGAAAAACTCAACAATGAAGAGGTCAAAGTCGTGGTATGTAGCACCTGAATAATCTCCTAGGTGCAAGAATGAGTAATGCCCTGGGCACAGTGGCTCACATCTGTAATCCTAGTATTCTGGGAGGCCCAGGAGGGAAGATTGCTTGAGCACAAGAGTTCAAACCAGCCTGGGTAACAGTGAGACCCTGTCTTTACTAAAAATAGAAAAAATTAGCCAGGCATGTTGGTGTGTGTAGTCTCAGCTACTTGGGAGGTTAAGACAAGAAGGATTATTTGAGCCCAGGAGCCTTGATCATGCCACTGCACTCTATCCGGGGTGATAGAGTATGACCCTGTCTCAAAAAAGAAAAAATGAGTAATGTTGATGTGTTGAGAGCTGACCAGATCAATGCTGCCATGAACATCACCATGGACAGGTAACAGCCTCAGAGACTCCAACTGGAACCTTAGTTAGCTGTTGTAGAAGGGGCTTGATGGCTTCTTTTGTATAATTGAATGTTAATTTGTAATCATTACTGGATTGTGGTCTTAGGTTATGGCCATTTACAAATTGTTGGGTTTTTAAAAATTACTCAAGGGTTTCTCATGGTTCAGTAATTGAGCACTGCACATCTTTTTTATGTAGAGGCTGTGAGGTAGAATTTGCCATCAGTGACTTCCCCTGTGAATAAACACCTGAAGACGGACTTAGTATAGTCATATCAAAGTCTAATAGGAGTGCTTAACATTGTCCCTGTGGCCATTCATGTTCACTGAAAGATAGAACATCTAAAGCCACCAGAGTATCCTTCCTTCAGTTCAGGGGTGGGAAAATTAGACCATGTGTCCACTACCTCTCTTTTCCTTCACTGTCAGTCAATTTAATTGATAGGTCTAATTCTTTCTTTTTTTTTTTTTAGAGAGAGTCTCAAGCTGTCACCCCTTGGTAGAGTGCCATCCCGTCATTGCTCACAGCAACCTCAAACTCTTGGGCTCAAGCAATTTTCTTGCCTCAGCCTCTCAAGTAGCTGGGACTACAGGCGCCTGCCACAACACCTGGCTATTTTTAGGTCTAGCTCTTGCTCAGGCTGGTCTCGAACCCATGAGCTAAGGCAATCCACCCACCTTAGCCTCCCAGAGTGCTAGGCTTGATTACAGGTGTGAGCCACTGTACCCGGCCCCAGCGAGGCTGCTGATGGTGAAGTAGTTAACACACAGGTTCAGGGTGTCTGACATGGCATGGCATAGTTAATAGAGGACTGGATTTGAGGCAAAACTAGAATGGCATTGATGGTGGAATGGTTAACAGAGCTCCATATCTGATGTCAAATCAGAGGCACGGTGATGATAGGCAAGTTAACACAGGCTCAAGTTTGGCCAATAACATTTTTATTCATTATTATTTGCTCATTATTTCTTATTTTTATTTCTTTTGTCACCATAGCACCTCATTCATGAATTTATTTCCTCTTAGGTTGAAATTCAAGAAAAGTATTACAAAGATGAATTTAAAATAGAACATCAACTCTGCCACCTCAAAATTTCACAAGGAGAAAACCCCCAAAATCATGCACAAAATTCATGATCAATCATTGTGAGTCCAGACTCAATAAATAACATGATCAGTACAAAGAAAAGAAGAAAGTGTTAGAGAATGAGGTTCCCCCCAAATTATCTTGCCATCCACAGACCTTGCTTGACACTGGGCATCTATTTTCTGTTTGCATACTGTGCAGAAATGAGTTCACACATTGGCCCTTGGCTTGTGTCCGAGAACTCAGATTTCAGGAGGGACCCCACCATTCCCTACATGGTCACAGTGGCTCACTGTGCCCGAACTGTACAATGCAGTTCATGCTGAACACCTGTTTTTCCTCTGAGAGTCTGGGATTTGGGAATGTTTCAGGCAAGGGGTACCTGTGACCAGTCCCCAGTAAAATCTTTGGATGCCAGTCTCTTTTTAAGCTTCCCTGGTTGGTAACATTTCACACACGTTGTCACAACCCATTACTGGGGCAACTGAGCACAATCTGTGACTCCACTAGGAAAGGACCCAGCTCTGTGCACCATTTCACTTTGTTGAATTGCCTATTTTTTTATACAATAAATCATAGCCATGAATACAACCATATGCTGAATCTCATGAGTCCTTTCAGCAAATCACTGAGCCCAGGGTGGTATTGGGGACCCTGACACACAGACAGAATCTTGACCATATGAATCATCCAGCTCACTGATACCCCTATCTCATCATCATGTGCCCTAAGCTCTGTCAGATGAAAGTACCAGTCAGAAATGCTCTTGGGTATCAGGGGCCACACCGTCGAATAATAATGGACTGAACAAACAGAAGGTTATTTCTTCCCCCAACAAGGCTGCTGGTGTGTGTTCGGCAGCTCAACAACATTGGACCAGGTTGGAGTCCCTACGACCCTGTGGACTGACCCTAAGCTCCCAAGATGTTAGACACAGTTCCAGTCAATAGCATGTGGCAGCACATGCAGCTGAGGAAAATGAGGGGCTGGAGCAAGAGCCTCTTTGACATTCCTGTTAACTTTGACATTTTCTATTGATTCAGGCCATTGACAAGGGATTTTGGTTATTTATCCTGGTTAATGCCCAAGTTTCCACCTCTCACTCAGGGCTCCCCTCAAATACCGAACATCACTTTTTGGTCGCTAAGCTGTTCCCAGGGCTTGAATTTGGGCCCCAGGTGGGCATGGGATAGAGAGAGATTCCCCATTGTTACCACCCCACAGCAGGATCCCACAGCTCAGTCTTAGGCCCTGGCTGCCCTTGCACCAAGTACTCAACACCTCTGCTCCCTGCTTGCTTGAAACAACCTGATGCACAGACTGGGATGGGGCCCAGGCAGGGCTGCCATTTGGGGCAGTCTGGGAGCCTCAGGCTGCTGAGGAGCCAGCAGAGTCCTGTAGCCTAATATCATGAACCCCTAGGTTCAAACCCAACAGTTCCCAACCCATCTCCTCCACTACTGGAGCCTGGTGCAAGTCCTCATCACTGCTCTGGCAGTGGTCTCCTGCTGGGTCCCCTGCTTCTGCCCTCACTCCGACAGTCTGCTCTCTTCACAGCAGCCAGATTGAGGCTGCTGCAACGAAGTGAGACTGTCTCTTCTCTGCTTAAAACCATCCCATGATTAACTCACTCCACACTTAGGAAAAAAGCCAAAGTCCTAGCCATGGCCCACAAAACTCTAAAATCCCTAGCCTGTCTGCTGTCATCTACTGTCACATGCTGGCCCGGCAAGACTCTGGCCTATATAGTGATCCTTCTGCCATCCTCCAGCCTCAAGACTTTTGCCCCCCCACCAACATGCTCTCTCACTTCACTCAGGTCTCAGTTTAAACGTCACCCTGTCAGAAATACCTTCCCTGATCATGTCACCAAAAAGAGCCCAAACCTGCCCCTGCAGCTATCTCCCATCCTCCTTTTACTTTTCTTTACAACACTCATTGTTAGTGAGCTATTATCTATGTTGTTCATTGTCTACTTGCCTCCAATGAGATGCAGGCCCCGCAAGGACAGAGATTTCTGTCACTTTGAGTCACAGCTGTATCCCCAGTACCTAGAACAGTTCTGGTGCAGTCGGTACTCGGTAATGTCTGTCGAATGCATGACTGTGTAAAACACTAAAGGTGGTGCCTGTGACACAGGAGACATTCAGTAAATGTTCGTCTGAGTGAAAACACTGATGCAGGAAGGACTAAAGGAACTGCACTCCGCCGTGGGTCCTGGAGCTCCTGCTTCCTTACCCTGCCCCCGGCATACCTGGGAGCGGCCCTCGGCATCACCACAGAATCTTTATTTACAACACGAAGCAGGGTGGATGGGGCAGCGGAGAGTGCAGCACCCTACTTCTGCTCCCGCCTCCAGACGATGACCATGCCACTGGCGTCACTGGAGGCCAGCAGGCTCTCATCGCAGTTGAAGCTGACGTCCAGCACAGGTGCACTATGGCCCTGCAGCTTGTTGACAGTGGCCTTGGCTGCCCGCTCCACATCAAAGAAGTGCACGCACATGTCCTCACTGCCTGTCACTGTCAAGGAAAGAGGGAGAGGTGCCCTAGGTGTCAAGTCCCGGAGGTGTCTGAGTGTTGAGGGGTTTATGTCCAAGGTATGGGGTTCCGTGGCTTGGGGAGGTCTAAGGATGGGCGGTCACATGGCTGTTTTGAGTCTGTGTGCAGTGTGAGGGCTCTAGCCTGTTCCGGGGGTCTACATTCAGAGTGTGAGTTCTCTGGGCTATTTGGGGTTTGGGTCCCAGCATGAGGATGTTGGGGCATGAGAAGTTGCAAGGCCCAGGAAGTCAGGGCATCAGGGTACTGTGATATCTGAGTGAAGTTGATACCAGCCCAGGTCCCTACCCCTCGCCAGCTTCCCGGACCTCCAGTCCTTATGTGACTCACCCACACAGGCCCCTTGGCGGAAGGACATAAGGGGGCAGAAAATGCTGCGCACAGGGTGTGAGCTCTGCTCAATGGGGAAGCTTCTCTTCAGCTGCAGGGTCCCCTCATTGTCCACCACCCTGAGAGGACAAGAAAGTGGGTCAGGGTGCAGCTTCAGCTCCAGAAGGGGGACCAGTGGTGGGCCACTCTGTGTCCCTACCCCTGTGCCTGAGTTCCTTTCAAGGTTCATGAAATCTAGTTTTTATTTATTTACTTTTTAGAGACTGGATCTCATTATGTTGCCCAGCCTGGTCTTGAACTCTTAGCCTCTAGCAGTCTTCCTGCCTCAGGCTCCCATGGTGCTGGAATTTTGGTGAGAGCCACTGCACCTGACTGAAACTCAGTTTGGGTTTTTTTTTTTGAGACAGTCTCACTCTGTTGCCCTGTGTAGAATGCCCTGGCATCACAACCCACAGCAACTTCAAACTCTTGGGCTGAAGCCATCATCTTGCCTCAGCCTCCCGAGTAGCTGGGAGGCACTTGCCACAATACCTGGCTATGAAATCCAGTTTTGATTTAGAAACAAGTATAATTGTGATGGATGCGTTACTTAGTTCAATTCAAGCATTTCACATTGTATATCGAAGCAGTACCCTGAACCCCATAAATGCATCAATGTATAAAGTTATGATTTAATAAAAAATAATTTTAAAAAAAGAAATCCAGTTTTGAGGTGACCACATGAATCTGTAAATACAAGTTGATTTACACAAGTTCAAGACCACCCTGAGCAAAAGCGAGACCCATCTCTACTAAAAATAGAAAAACTAAGGCAAGAGGACTGCTTGAGCCTGAGTTGGAGGTTACCGTGAGCTATGATGCCACAGCATTCTACCCAGGGCAATAGTTTGAGACTCTGTCTCAAAAACATAAATAAATAAAATTACAATTACAGGCCAGGTGCATTGGCTCACACCTGTAATTCTAGCACTCTGAGGGGCCGAGGCAGGTGGATTGCTTGAACGCATGAGTTTGAGACCAGCCTGAGCAAGAGTGAGACCCCATCTTTTACTAAAAATAATAGAAAAAAAAGACTGAGGCAAGAGGATCCTTTGAGCCCAATAATTCGAGGTTGCTGTGAGCTATGATGACACCATGGCACCCTACCCAGGGCAATAGCTTGAGACTCTGTTTAAAAAAAAAATTACAGGGCTTGGCGCCTGTGGCTCAAGTGGCTAAGGCGCCAGCCACATACACCTAAGGTGGCGGGTTCAAATCCAGCCTGGGCCCGCCAAACAACAATGATGGCTGCAACCTAAAAAATAGCTGGGTGTTGTGGTGGGCGCCTGTGGTCCCAGCTACTTGGGAGGCTGAGGCAGGAGACTCGCTTGAGCCCAGGAGTTGGAGGTTGCTGTGAGCTGCGATGCCACGGCACTCTACCCAGGGGGACGGCTTGAGGCTCTGTCTCAAAAAAAAAGAAAAAATTACAGGGCGGCGCCAGTGGCTCAAAGGAGTAGGGCACTGGCCCCATATGCCAGAGGTGGTGGGTTCAACCCCAGCCCTGGCCAAAAACTGAAAAAAAAAAATACAATTTCTTCTGCAATTACAAGAGATACAAGATACGATATACAGGCTCAGCGCCTGTAGCTCAATGGCTAGGGCATCAGCTACATACACCAGGGCTGGCAGGTTTGAACCCAGCCCGGGCCTGCCAAACAACGACAACTACAACAACAACAAAATAGTCAGATGTTGTGGTAGGCACCTCTTACCCCAGCTACTTGGGAGGGTGAGGCAAGAGAATTGCTTAAGCCCAAGAGTTTGAGGTTTTCATGAGCTGTGATGACACAGCACTCTAATAGCACTCTACCGAGGGCAACATAGTGAGACTATCTCAAAGGAAAAATAAAAAAAGATAACAAATGTCACCAGTATATTGAGTATCAAGTACCAGTATACTGAGTAACAAATTTAATAGTTTTTTCCTTTTTTTTTTAGAAAAATAGAGTGTCAATTTGTTGCCCTTGGCACTGTACCATGATGTCACAGCTCACAGCCACCTCCAGCTCTTGGGCTTAGGTGATTGCCTCAGCCTCTTGACTAGCCGGGACTACAGGTGCCTACCACAATGCCCGGCTATTTTTTTTGTTGCAGTTTGACTGGGGCCAAGTTCGAACCCACCGCCCTCAGTATATGGGACTGGCACTCTACTTACTGAGCCACAGGCACCGCCTGGTTTTTTCCTTTCTTAAAATATGTATACATTTTTAAAAATACATACATTTATTATTATTTTTTCTTTTTGGAGTTTTTGGCTGGGGCTGGGTTTAAACCCACCACTCCCTGGCATATGGAGCTGGCACCCTACTCCTTGAGCCACAGGTGCTACCCAAAATCTGTATATATATTTTTAGCACCCTGTGTGTGTGATTTTTTTTTTAAAGAGTGGCCAGGTATGGTGGCTCACACCTGTAATCCTAACACTCTGGGAGACTGAGGTGGGAGAATGGCTTGAGCTCAGGAATTTGAGACCAGCCTTAGCAAGAGCAAGACCTGTTTCTAATAAAAATAGAAAAATTACTACCAAGGGCGACATAGTGAGACTATCTCAAAAAAAAAATAGAAAAATTAGCTGGGCATGTGGTGGGTGCCCATAGTCCCAGCTACACAGGAGGCTAAGGCAGGAGGATCCCTAAAACCTAGGAGCTTG